CAAAAAACAGGTACTGACTGTGTTTCTACTCACATTTCTGCTTCTGCTACCTACCACAGTGCTGGGCATCTAGAACATTCTCAGTAAGCACTGGGTGAATGAGGGCTAGATAGCATTAGTTGTCAGCTTGATACACCTGGATAGAAGGAGTCTCAATTGAGGAGTTTCCTCCATTGGACTGGCCTTTGAGCATGTCTGTGAGGCATTTTCTTGATTGTTGAGTGATGTCAAAGGGCCCAGCCTACTTTGGGTGTTGCCACCCCAGGGCAAGTGGCCCTGTGTTGCATTAAAAAAGCAGATTGAGCACAGACCAGAGGAGAAAGCCAGTAAGTTGAATTCCTCCATGATCTGTGCTCCATTTCCTGCCTCCAGGTTCCTGCCCTGATTTCCCTCAGTGATAAGCTGTGACCTGGAAGCTGTAAGACAAAATAAACCCTTTCCTCCCCAAATTGGTTTTGGTCAGAGTGTTTTGTCACAGCAATATAGAAGGGAACTAGGACAACTGTGTAGCAGGGGGTGGGGTGGGGCTAGAAAGGTCTCATCGAGGAAACTAAGTCAAGACACTTATTTTGTGATTTTGTGGTACCTCCCAAATCAGTTATTCATAGGTGACAAGAACTGGTGAATGGCATGAGATTTTGAGAAAATTAGGTTCCAAACTCAAAATAGTTTGGTGTGGTGTATATCCTTTGAGATCATGCATTTGTGCATCCCCATGAGAGCTTGCTATTGTGCATCCAGCACTGAGGCGAGTACATAGGAGGATGAAGGACCATTCCTTGTCCTTGTTGACTTCATAGTCTAGCTAGGGACATGGGCATTAAGAAAACCTCACACCCAAACACTGTAGCTATAACCACATCAGGAACTAGAAAGAATGACGCAGAGCACTCAAACAGGTCCAGTGAGCTCCACCCTCCCCAAGGGAGTCTGCCTTCCCTGAAAGTGAGGGGCCTAGATGAGGATGAGGCTAGACTGACCAAAGACAGGTAGTACTGGGCAGGATTTCTGACACACTGTCTGAGCAGAGTTGCTGGCTGACCATTCCAGGCTGCCTTTCACTGATGGTACAGCACACAACCTTGAGAGACAGACATACAGTTTCCCTATTTGTTTGCTGTCCAATATAACAAAGATAAAGGCTCCCTTCAGGGTCAAGGGCTTGCTGCTCTCTCTAAAAGACCTGAGTTCCTTAAATGAAGTTTTCCTCTGCTGTGATATGACCCACAGCATGCACTACATCCCATGGGCTGCTCCAACATCACCCTTGTAGGGCTTGGGGGTCCAAAGAAAACTGATTCAAACGTCAAGTTCATGCTTGATGAGCCATGAGTGATAAGAAGCTCTTTATTATCTATGTCCTACTTGGCTTTAACTGTCAACTTGACACAACCTGAGACATAAGAAGGAGTCTCAACTGAGCAATTTCCTAGATCAAAGTGGCCTATGGGTATGTTTGTGGAGGATTGTTTTGATGGTCAGTTGATGTAGGAGAACACAGACCACTGTAGGTAAGCACTGTTCCCTGGGCAGGTAGTTCTGGGTTATGTGAAAACACTAACTAAGCATGGATCTGTGAACCAACTAGCAAGAAGTGTTCTTCTATGGTTTCATGCTTGAGTTACAGGACTGTAACCTGTAAGCTGAAATAAACCCTTTCCTCCCCTTTTGGTCATGGTGTTTGTCACAGCAACAGAGAGCAAACTAGAGCAATCTCTGACATAGAATCTGTTAAGACTGTGACTGCTGTCCATATCGGATCCCAGGCCATTCATAGTTAGTGACATAGAATATACAAAGACCCTGTGGTAAGACAAAGTAGGACAAGCATAAGGATCTGAAGGAAGATGCCTGGAGCAATGTAGGGAGAAGGAGCATGGTGTGAGATGCAGTAGGCGGTGGTGAGCCAAGGGACCCTGAGGGAATCCTGCTGGGCCAGTCCAGCTGGGATAGGCCAGAAACAAGCCTGGGGGAGGGTGTGGGCATTTTTTGCAACAAACTTCATATATAATATGTGGAATTAGTAAGTTGAGCTTATAGGCTCACAGGCACAGAAAGCATACACCAACCCAAGCCTATGAAAGAGTCTAAGAAAGGAGATGAAATAGGCATCATTTTCTTCACATCCTATACCTTGTTGGACTGCTCTGTAATAGCTCCACTGGTAATGCGTGGAAGTCCTCTTCACAGTGTCCCAATCAAATAGGAGACACTTCTCAATGGCTGGCCCTGCTGCCAATCATCTTTGGTCCAAAAGAAATCAGTCACCTTAAGGAAGCCATGGTGACCTTGAGTACTCAGGGTCTAACCTGGGACCAGGCCCTTCTAATCTGCTTGTCTTTCAGCAGAGGGGAGAGGCTGTGACAGTTTTAGAGGAAGAGAAAGGGAGGGGTAGGCCAAGGATAGAGGGGCAAGGTCCCTCAAGGGAGGGCTGAGACTAATCCATCATAGATAGCATCCAACTGAGACAGATAGGGGGCCCTGGAGTGCTGGGCAAATGTTAAGCACTGTTAAAGTACTGATGAAAATCACTATTGGTGTTAATGATAAATTCTTCAAATCCTTATTGTAAGTAATCCTGGCTGCTGCGAGCAAAAGGACTATCAGTCTAAAAGCGGCCATACTTGCCTGGCCAGGCTTGGTGGTGTATGCTTTTAATCCCAACACTCACAAAGGAGGCAGGGCAAGCAGATCACTGTAAGTTCAAGGCCAGTTTGGTATACACAGAGTTCTAGGTCAGCCAGGGTTACATGATGAGACCCTATCTCAGAGAGAGAGAGAGACAGAGAGACAGAGAGACAGAGAGAGAAAGCAAAAAGCCAGGCACACTACTCTTTTACTTCCACAGACACATTGATAGATAAAACTACATGATTATCTCAGCTGATTGTTATAGCTCCTGGAGTCTCAGCCTCAGAGTTGTTTCAAATAGTTTGTATCAGACTTTCTGCTATCACAAGCCCTAGTGAGCTCTAGAAGACCCAGCAACCATTTCCATTTCCACCTAGTCCAGGAGATCACTTCCCCTGCTGGCCCAGCAGAAGGATTAATTAAGATTAATCTTTGGTGAAAACACAAATCCCCTTTGCTTGTGAGGTGTGCTGTGATTAGTCCAAACACTCCTTATCTGCCTATATAAGCAAGCAGTCTTTTTAGGCTCCTTGAGTTGACTGGGAGACACCCTCCCAAGCTGCCTCTCCAAGTGTTGCAATTTTAGACCCAACTAAAAGCTCCTCTTGAGTGGTCTTTTCTTATCTGCTTTTAGTAGTGTGGGCTGAGCTACTGACATAAAGAAAGAAACAGCAGAGCCCACAAAGCAGCAGAAATGGCAGAAGCAGCCGAGGGGCAGTAGCAGTGACAAATGAAGGTTCACGTCTGTACCCATAACAGCAGCCAGTAGGCCAAGTTGAAGAAGTGGTAAGGCAGTGGGCTTCTTGACAGCTGAAGAGGCAGAGCTGAGCAACCAGCAGGCAGAGCTGCAAAATCAACAAGAGACCGACTGCCTGGCAGCTGAAGAACCGGCAACTGAACAATTTGAGAGAGTGGCCAGTGTGTAAAAGGAGGATGGGGGAAAAGAGAAGACAGAGCTGAGGCTGTCAGGAGCCAGAGAAGAGACGCTGCAGGTCCTGGTCACTGGGAGAGTTCCAGAGAGTTGTCAAACTTGTAGAGTCAAGGGTCTCAGACACCCAGCACCAGGTGGTGAATCACTGACTGCTATCAAGGCCTGAGACGTCTTGATACCTAGGCCTGCCTGGAAGGTGTGATGCCAGCTACTGCCGAAGACTAAGGAGCCCCTGCTTCCTAGACTAACACAAGGGCTGAAACACTTGGAGAACTAGGGGGCCCAGGCAGGAGGGCCACAGAAGCCTGTGACTCTAGAGTCTCAGCCAGTTGACTGGTGACATAATCACTACCTACTGGGATTACAAAGCCTCAGAAAAAGGTGTTCATAGACAGAGGCAAAAATAATCACCAAGTTCCCTAAGAAATGTGGGGGTCTTTGGTGGGAGAGGGTGAACTTGTTAGCCTACACCTGTAATCCTAGCACCCAGGAAGCTAAGGGAGGAGGAATTTGAGACAAGCCTGTGCTACACAATGAGACTCTGGAAAATCAAAACAACAATAAAAAGAAGTGTTTCCATTTCTTGTTAGTGCAGAGGGCATCCAGGGTTTTATCATGCAGAGAACTCGCTCCATCTGAATTACACTTCTTTCCCTAAGAGCCCTGGGAAACCAATGCAGAACTTAGAGCAGGAACGCCTCAATGGGTTTGGGTTTCAGAAGCATCTCTGAAAGGAGAGGAATTATTGATCTGAGATCTCCCACCCTATGTTCCTGAGGGAAACCACCAGCAGCCGTTATTTCCCCCATGTTTACTTCAGTGTCAGTTCACCACAGGCTCAGGCTGCAGCCTTAGGGTTCAGAGCCTTCTCAGGAACACCTCCTGTTCCGGCTTCCCTATTCAATAATCAGCACATAAATTGCTAAAAGGAGATGTGGGACCCCTCTCCAGCCCCCAAGGCTCTCTAGTCCTTACTTAGGCTCTGGCCAGCTATGGGAATAGCCACAAGACAGAAAGTCTGAGGGGAGGGCAGGCAATATAACAGTGGCCTTGTTTTGGTGCCCTGGCTTATATAACTCAGCTGTGCCTGCTTCAACCTGGCCAAAGGCCTGGACTGGGGGCTGGAGATACGCAGATAGAAGCTGCCAAAAAAGCTGGGAGACTGCTGCCAAGATCTTGCAAACTGTAGGGAGAAAAGGAATGGCAGGAAGGTTTTAGAAATGTGGCTGCATCATGCCCCAACCCCTAGCCCAAGATCATCACCCTAGTGGCCCTTCAGTTGGCAGGTACCTCATGGAGACAGGCCCAAAGTTCTCAAAACTCCACAGTTTCCCAATCCTCCTCTAATGGCCCTCAGGACATCCCCACCTCCACTTGTCAGCGTTGGGATTTACACACAGCTCAGTTCCTGTAAAGGGGATGGTTTGGGGTGTGGGGGAGTGGAATGGACTGGTATAAGAAGGAAGTGTGGGCCCTGGGGAAGAGGCCCTGTCAAGGCAGCTGGGCACCGAGAGAGGCCACCATGCCCCACTCTGCTGAAGCAAAGATGCATTTGAGGGTGACTCTGGCAGGTCTCTGGATTAATTGAGGGTGACTGGATTGGGCCAGGTGGGGCTGTGGACTTTCAAGCTAGAAGGCTCAGACTGCTTGAATAGCTACTGTTCAGTGGGTCCAGCCTCCTACCTGCAGGATGGAGGAGGGGGACAGCAGGTACAGGGAGCAGAACAAGGGAGGAGGAGCAGAAAGAAGGGGGAGGGAGGCTATCTGGAGCTGGGGCCTCACTTGTCTGAGGAGGGGCAGAAGAAAGGCAGTCATACCTACCACAGGTCTGACCCTGGATTTCCCTTCAGGCTTTGTGGTCCTGATGCTGTTCCAGTGCTGTGAGTACCCAGTCCCCTCCCCTCCACTGCTACCCTCTCCTAGAAGAACATTCTTTCAGGTTTTCCTGCTACTCTCAGGGTTTGGGAATATATATATTTGTCAGTGGTGAGTATGCAGATGTTTATTGTACAATTCTATCTTCTCCACTCTTCCATATATTTGAATTTTTTTTTCAAAACAATGAACTTCAAAAGGTTCAGGTTAGGGAAGGCTTCTGACAAGCAGTCTGAAGGAACGACTATCAGAACCCCAGAGCTCTGGGATGAGAGAGACCCACTGTTTCCCTCCACGTCTAAATGGTTAGAGGGACTTCATCTGCAGCAGGAGGAATTAAAATGAAAACAAAGAAAGAACTTCTCAGTTCCCTGTGACAGTGAGCCCTAGTTTAGGGACTGCTATTCTGGTGGGTCTTCCTACCAGGGGTAGAGAAGAGACTACCAGAGCTCCTCTCAGATCAAAGACCCCACTGCAGGGGAAGTTTGCAGGCAGGGCACCTTCTGCCACTGATGGGCGCAGGCCAGGCCTCTGTCCTTCTTAGAAGGCACTGCCTCCAGGAAGCCGCGGTCCTTGCACTGACTGGATGTTTCCTCATGAGCTTTCATCCAACAGGGAGTTCCCCAGGGAGAGCAGGCTGGGCTAGTTCTTTTTATTTAAGAATTCTCATTTTGCTAACTATCTCCACTCCCTGGCCCACACCCCATTGATGCCTAGTCCCATCCCAGATTTCTTGTTCAGGCTCTCCATACAAGCTGGTCTGCTACTACACCAACTGGTCTCAGTACCGGGAAGGGAATGGGAGCTGCTTCCCAGATGCCATCAACCGCTTCCTGTGTACCCACATCATCTACAGCTTTGCCAACATCAGCAACAATGAGATTGACACATGGGAGTGGAATGACGTGACACTCTATGGCATGTTGAACACACTTAAAACCAGGTTGGGCCACAGGCTGGCCAGGACAGGGGAGGAGGGACAGGTAGTTTGGCTGGTTCCAAGGTTGGACAGCTCTGTCCAAGAGGATGGTCTCCTAAGAACCTTCCAATGGGTGGGCAACAAGAGGGCCTTGGCTTCAGTGGGAGGAGGTGCTAAGGTAGATGACTAACAAGGTGACAGGTAGATGGCAGGAGGCCCCACAGAGTGCCCAGGAAGGAGCCTCTCCCTATCCGTGGCAACTCTGCTGGAGCCTGAAACTCACTTGTGAGCCCGTTTTGCCTCTCTCATTCCCTGGTTTTCTGGCTACGGGAAATTTTGGAGTTACTGCCATGTAGGCCGTGCCCTCCTAAAACAACAGTGTCCCCAGTGTCACAATAGCTTCACTCCACCACTGCTCTCCCACCACCCTGATCCACAGGAACCCCAACCTGAAGACCCTTCTGTCTGTTGGAGGATGGAAATTTGGCTCAGAAAGGTAGGACTCATTGCTGGGGCAGGATGTAGTAGAAAGTTAAAGTCCACCCACTGTTGGGGCATTCTGTTGCTCCAGATTAGCAAGGCACGGAAACCTCCATGGTGGTCAGGGGCTGCCTCATGCACATTTGAAAAACCAGAGCCCAGAGAGGAAGAGGGACTTACCAAAGTCACAAAGTAGATATTTCATTTCTTGCGATGCTTTATTTATTTATTTTCTTACTAAGTTGCCCAGTCTCGCCTGAAATTTACTATGTAGCCTAGACTAGCCTTGCACTCCCAGCAGCTCTCCTGTCTTGGGCCCTGATTATCGGTGTGTACCACTATGTCTAACTTTTGAAATACTCTTTGCTCTACACCTCAGGCCTGAAAACAAAGGACTTGCTGGGTACCATCATAAAGGCTGGGAGGAGTGGGAAGGAAGCCGTGGAGAATATGGAGGATAGAGACTATGAACGGGCAACTTAAAGTACTCAGAATAGGAGCTGGGCCCACAAAAGGGGCTGCAGTGGCCATAGTAACTCCCACTGAGTGCTCTCTGTGTCAGAACCCTTTCCCAGGGGGCTGGGGTGTAGCCTAGTGGTAGCACACTTGCTTAGCATGCAGGCCTTAGTTTAATACTAAGCACTGAAAAGAAGAAAAAGGAGGAGGAGGAGGAAGAGAAGGAAGAGGAGGAAGAAGAGGAGGAGGAGGAGAATCAGGACCTTTTCCTGCAATTATCACACACAATCCTCGAGACAACTCAAGATGTTTGTTATTTTACTTCATAGATAGGAAAGTGACAGTCAGGTTGTACCTACTCATATTGTATCTGCTCCAAGTGGCTGGCTAGTCTCAGACACAGCAGTGTCTGACTCCAAGGCACATACTCTTCTTAATTCCTGAGCTGGGTTCTATCCCTTGCAGACCCTTCCTAAGGCTGCCAGTTAAGGGCCCCTGGGTCCCAAGCCCTGGAAACCTCACTGTAATACCACAATCTCTGACTCATATATGAGTAACAAGTTCATTCTGGGGGTGATTTTGTCCTAGATTTTCGAGGATCGCCTCCAATGCCCAGAGGCGCAGGACTTTCATCAAGTCAGTGCCCCCATTTTTGCGGGCCCATGGCTTTGATGGGCTGGATCTCGCCTGGCTCTACCCCAACCCAAGAGACAAACAGCATCTCACCACCCTGATTAAGGTGCTGGGCAGGGGCAGGGGGCAGGGGCTGGGGATGGGTGTCAGCATGTGGGCTAGTAAAGGTCTCTTCAACCAAGAGTCTCCCAAGGATGAGCATAAGGGCCTCAGAGAGAAAGACTTATAACCATTGTGGGAGGTGAATAAGGGCTCCTAACAGGTGGAAGGTTGTGGCAGAGCAGGACGCCCCACTCTGCACTGCCCATTACCCACTTAGAGGAGTGTCCATTTTCCACTGTTCATTTCCAAAATGATGTCACCAACTACCCAATAAGCAAGGTGTACACAGAAACACAACTCAATCTGAGGACAGCCCAAGCATCTTCAGTTCCCAGGGGAAAGTCCCCAAGTGAACAAACTGTCCACATTACCACAGTGAATCTCTTTGACCTTGTGATTTCATGCACCAGTTACAACAAAGTGCAGAATAAGAGGTACATGTCTTCCAAGGTCATCACTCACTACTTGATGGTCCCTCCAAGACTAAGAGTCATTGAGTGCAGATGGTAGGTGTGGGACTGGTTTGGGGTTGAGTGTATGTTTGAGTATGTAGGGGTTACTGTGCATGCACATATGTACACACATGTATAGAGGCCAGACAGAGGGCAACTTTGAGTGTCATTCCTCAAGTACTATCCACCTTGTTTTATTCTGTTCTTTATTGTTATTATTATTATTATTATTTATTATTAGACTTGTACTTGAGATTAGAGTTTGAGTTTTAGTTAAGATATCTGCTTTATAAGTTTCTGACTTTATTTTTTAATATTTTCTTTATTATTTTTATTTTATGTGTTTGAGTACATTGCTTGCATGTATGTAAGTGCAGCAGTGCTATCTAATACCTGTGGAGGTCAGAAGAGGCTGTCAAATCCCCTGGAACTGGAGTTAGGACAGTTGTTAGCTGCCATGTGGGTGTTGGGATTCAAACCCAGGTCTTCTGCAAGAACAGCTAGTGTTCTTAACCGCTGAGCCATCTCTCCAGCCCCTTATTCTGCTCTTTTGAGATAAGGTCTGTCATTGGCCTGGAACTTACCAAATAAGCCAGGCTGGCTGGCCAATGAGCCCAGAGATCATCTCCACCTCCCACTGCTGGGATTACAAGCACATACCACCACACCTAGCTTTCTTTCTTTTTTATTTCTTCTTTTTTTTTTTTTTTTTCACAAGGGTTCTGGGGCTCAAACTCTGGTTCTGGTGCTTGCTTTTTACAGACTGAGCAATCTCCCCAGCCTTCAAACCTTATTTTTGTAAAAGGATGGGGCATCCTGAGGGTGGGACCAGTGACAGGCCACTGTGTCATTTCCACTATGTCCCCAGGCAGATGAGGGATCTCAGCAGATAGGGAAGGTCAGCAAGGTACCCAGGACCTTGACTTCCCTGCACAAGCCCCTCTCTCGTGCACCTGGGCCCCCTTTTCTCAACTGCCTTCCTTCCACCCAGGAATTGAAGGCTGAATTCATAAAGGAAGTCCAACCAGGAACAGAGCAGCTCCTGCTCAGTGCAGCTGTGTCAGCAGGGAAGGCGGCCATTGACAGTGGCTATGATGTTGCCCAGATATCCCAGTGAGTCTCCTGCCCTGGCAGGCCCTTAGACACCTCTGCAAATGCCCCTCTTTCTCCCACCCTTCCCTAGCATCCCATAGAAGACTCAGGAACCTGAGCTTCTCCACCCAATTCTTCCAAAAACTTTGATGCGTGAACTTTAGCAAACCACTGTCCTCTCTGTGACTCAGTGTCCCCATCTTTCAAACAAGCCACAATAACCTATCCTTCCTTTTTCACTTGGGGTGTTGTTGGCAAGGTTGAGAGAGTGGCTATGAGTGAATTTTGGAAAGGTGTAGAAAGAATTGTACAAATGTACCAGCCACTCCAGAGTGCCTTCTCTACACTAGGCCAGGCAGAGCACTAGGCCCAAGAGAGGCAACCTGCAGCAAGAACACTTGCATGTGTAAGGTAGGGGGAGCCAGCTTTCCTATATTGCCAAGCCCCTTTCTCCATATGCATTCAAACTGCCAACAGCCATACAGCAGCTCTCCCAAAGGGGCTCAGGTAGGGCCACGGGAAAGCCAGGAGGAGGGAATAAGGATGTTCAAAGTGACTTGGAACCTCCCTTAGACCTTAGGAGCATAGTTTGGCACTTAAATTGTTCACTTAGAGAGTGAGAAAAAGGTAACACGCCAGTTTGTTCTGAATCTCTGAGGCTCAGAGGCTTACATTCCTGCCTTCACACCCCTTGCCATGGGGCTGCAGAGCACCCTCTCCTCCCACCCCTACCCGGCTTGAGTATGTCTTATGCTGAGCTAGCTCCTTCCCCAGTAGGCTGTCCATTTGATTTTTAACTTGCTTTCATCAAGACAAGCATCGCAGGAGTGGAGGGCTAAGGAAGGGAGATCAGCTCACACAAGAGTGCTGGGAGCCTCGTAGAGCTGCCTATTCTCACCTGGAGCCACCAAGGGAACCCAGAACCCACACTGGGTGTGGCTCAGGAGAGGCAGCCAGCAGTCAGGATAGTCTCTGAAGCAACTGCGCTTTGGGTCAATGTTTGTCAGTTTTCTGCTTCCCACATCCTGCTGAGCCTTAGCTGTGAAGCCAAGAACTTTTAAAATTTCTAACTCCTTTCACGTCCAATTCCTTTCTCTTAGACACCTGGATTTCATCAGCCTCATGACCTATGATTTCCATGGAACCTGGTACCAGACTACAGGACACCACAGTCCCCTCTTCCGAGGCCAGCAGGACACTAGTCTTTACAGATTCAATAATGTGGTGGGTGCCTGGAAGGAGAGAGCATGGGAGGGGGTCATAAAGCCCTGCCACCTGAGGGTGCACACACGGCTACCTTTTTCTTCAGTACAGTCCTACAAGATGGGTTATGAAAGCCATCTCACAGATAAGAAAACAGGCCCAATGTCAGTATTCTCCATAGCTTCACAGGGTCAACTATTCCAGTAAAGGCATAAGGGGTAGATAAAAAGAAGCTGGGAGCTTAGAGGTGGGAGTCTACCCTCAGCCTGCCATATGCTCACTGTGCAACCTGAGCCAACCACCCAGTTTCTGTGTCTGTCACATGTTAACAATCACTTCTTAGGTCTAAAAGGAGCTTTTCAAGAATGAACCTTTAAAAATCACTTTTAACTGGCATTATCAGTTCCCAGAGGGAGAGGATTCCCAAATGCACTGTATAACTGTCACTGCTCCTGTCAAGGCAGCAGTATTTATTGTACAACCCTTCCTATCTGCACACTACCAGCCCAGCTAACTGCTCCTGCTGTCTCTTCTCTGCCCCAGGACTATGCTGTGGGGTACGTGCTGAGGCTGGGAGCCCCGGCCAGCAAACTGCTGCTGGGCATCCCCATCTTCGGGAAGAGCTTCACTCTGGCATCTTCTGAAACACAAGTTGGAGCCCCTGTCTCGGGGCCAGGATTACCAGGCCGGTTCACCAAGGAAGAAGGGATCCTTGCCTATTATGAGGTAATAAAGTTCCTTCGCACCGGCTACCCCAGAGAAGAAGGGCCTCCCTACTCACTCCCTGCCCGGAAGACACACTTTTTCTGCTTTGGAAATTTAAAAAACAAAAACAAAAACAAAACAACATTCACTTGGCCTCCAGAAGACACAGGTCCATGAGTCTATACCACCAAGCCACCAGAATATTCCTCTGGCCTCAAACCTGGGGTCTTTATCTCAGTTCAGGAAAGACAATGACCAAGAGGCTTTGTGTGTTTTGTCTAGCTTCTGAGACAACCCTCAGTGTCAGCTCACTTTCTCTCATCCCTTTTTAAGATGCAAGAGGCAATCAAATCCCTAAAACCCTCAGGCTACAACTGAACTCTGGGACATTGGCATCTGTTTTTCGTAAATTTGCATGAAGCTTGGAGCCTGAAAACCCATGAGGGGTCTACAAACTGAAGGATGACTTCTAGTGACCCCACAAGCCTGCCACCCCTGCTTTATTTCTGTTCAGATCTGTGACTTCCTGCAAGGAGCTAAAGTACATAGAATTACTGGCCAGCAAGTCCCCTATGCCACCAAGGGTAACCAGTGGGTGGGATATGACGACGAGGAGAGTGTCAAAAGCAAGGTAAGCTTCCCCAAAGCCACACCCCAGGACAAAGGAAAGGAGGCCCTGCTCCAAGCAGCCAATTTTGGTCCCCTGCCCCAGGGCTGAGCTTGGATATGTGGGTCTCAGGTCGGGGGCACTCCTGGGGAAGGGTCCCAGAGCACAGTTCCCCCCTATGCACCTTCCTCAGAGAACCCAGCCCTACCTGCTCTGGACCACCCCCACCAGGTGCAGTATCTGAAAAACAAGCAGCTGGCAGGTGCCATGGTGTGGGCACTGGATTTGGATGACTTCCGGGGCTCCTTCTGTGGCCAGAATCTACGCTTCCCACTCATCAACACCATCAAGGAGGCACTTGCTGTGGCTTAGCTCTGTCTTTCCTCATACCGTAACTCACACCCTCTGGCTCCAATTGGCCAAGAGCCTGGTCACCTGCACTGTACCCCTGCTGAACCTCAGTGTCCCTCCCTTGGAACCTGTGTAAAGGGCTACAGCACTGAGATTTGGGCTCAGCCTTGGTGGCCAGGGAGATAGGGTAGGATTATAAGGTCATGGGGGCCTGGAGACCAGCACAGTGTGAGATACTAGACCAGTACATACCCATTGATGAATGGAAATTCTCAGATTCTAAGCCCAGCACAAAGGGATTTCTTAACTCCTTTGCCCCCAGCTCTTATGATCAAAAGACACCATTTCGGAAAGTTATATCACCAAGTAAGCAAACATTGTACAAGATGCACTGGCTGAACTAATTATGCCTTCTGTAAAGCCCAACTTGAAGCCTTCGCTTAGGAACATAATCGTGTCTCCATCCCACTTCCCTTTCCTAATTCCACAGCTCAATAAAGCACACAAGCTTAACAGTATGTCGCACTTTTCTTCAGTCACCTCAGTGGGTACACTGGGCCATGCACTCATTTTTCCCTATCTTTTCTGGGCTCCTCTCTCTGAAGACTTGATGTCCTGTTCTGGGCCCCAGAGAGCCTCAATGAGAGGTGGGTCTCCTCAGACAGGGTACAGGCTTAGACTTTACCCAAGCATGGTGAACAGCCTTCCAGATAATAAAGTCATTGCTGTTCAGACTTTAAAACTAAATTTCTTGTAGAAAGAGATTGCTTCATATCCTGAAGGTTTGCAGGAAAGAAAGTCATTAATCCAAATGTGTCTCTTCTGACCCTCTGGAAGGTGATGACAGCCAACCACAGGATCCAGTTAGAGAGCTCTGGAACCCAGGCCCGTCAGGGCCAGAAAGGAAGGCAGTGCCCTTTCATTGTACCCTTCCTACTGCCCAGGACTGGGGGCTCCACAGGACCCGCAGGAGGCAGCCTTCTTGTCTCTACTGCAGCTTGTTGTCTTAGGGGCAGCCCATCTCAATGCTGGACTGCAAGCTATCAAGAATCCAGTGCTGCCGGTGTCCCCAGCTCTCTGTCCTTGTGCTCATTGTCCCTTCACATTCTTCCCTCCACTATTTAACAGACCAAGCTCCCCTGTTCAAGTTGGCCTGAGACAGGAGTTGGAGGAAAGACAGAACAGAAAACCAGTCAGTTTTCCAGTCTTTATGAGGTGGAGATGCTGTCACCGAACTCTTGTGAATTTCCAGAGCCAGGACATGAGTTTATTCCAGGCACAATGCATTCTTCACCTGCAGGGAATTTATCTATGGATTCCTTGATGTTTGGATTATCTGACTTGGGATAATCATGAGTTGGTCTGATGTCAGTGACTCTGGGTTGAGGCTCAGGGAAGCAAATGCCTATCTGCTGTCCTGAAATCTGAACCAGCTGGAGCCAGGCACATGCAGATGATTCCAAGGTTACAACTCTGCTAAAGGCAAGGAGCTTGGCCAGTCTTAGGAGTACAGGGAACCTGGCATTTTATGCTGGCCAGTGGGCCAAGCAGTCCCAAATCTATGCCCACTGTCCACCTCACCACAGTCTTTGAAACCCAGGACTGCGAGTTCTCCTAGGCAACTAGTCCATGTCTCTAGGGCTCCCCTTCCCCCAGCTTGGGACAGGTTGAGAACAGGGCTGACTCAGGGTCCTGCCGAGTTAGTCACATTCACTTATAGCTGCACAGTCAGAGGCCAGGGTGGAGATCGGGTCTCCCTGCCCGGGCCCTACCCAGCAGAACACTGACTCACCTGGCAGAGGACATGGACACCCAGGCAGAGCTGACCCAGAGGCTCCCCAGGACCTCCAATGACCCCCCTCACAAGGACAACTGGGGTTGAGAGGCAGCCATATTCCTGTGCCCCGTCCTCAGAAAAGGCTAGAGCCTGTATGCTGTTGACAGCCCTAAGTAAATTACATGTTCATTTATTTCTTAATTGTAGGATACACTCTATCTGATAAAGAATGCATGAGAGGTATGTGTTTAATCTGAAGAGCTACTGTGCACTGAAGGGCAAGAATGAAACCTCAGAAACACAAGACTTCACTGTCTCATACATCCTTGACCCCTCACCTAGAGACATTTTATGCCAGCGTTGGCCTTGCCTTCCTTTTATATGGCTTACCACCTATGGGTGCACTTTGAAGAAGAGACTTTTATGAACAGGTTTGGATTTCTGGGACAAGTTAATAATCATGTTTCTGTGAGCCTTGCTCCTTAGGATTCACCATTAGGTCTGTAAGAGCAGCCATACTGTCCATAATTGAACTTGTTGATGAACTTCTGCGTCTTAGTCTGGGTTTCACTTCAGAGTTATATAAATACTCCAGCTGTTTACCCAATGTGGAAAGACAGCTGTTTCTCTCAGATTTCAGCTATTCTAAGTGATACCTCCTTGAAAATTCCCATCCATGTCTCCTGAGAATCATGTGTGTGCAGTTCCAGGAATGGGCAAGCAGGGCCCACCAATCTCTGCCCTGCCTTTTCCAGAGTCATTGCTCAGATCCACCCACAATGAAAATGTTGGTTGCTCCTCCTCCCCTTCCTCTCTGACACATGGTGTCTTTAGAACTTCACATTATTACCAATCTTAACATTTTCTTGAATAAATCAATCAGTGACAAAGAATTCGGCCATATCTGCCTCATTTTCCACACTGAGAAAGTCCATGCTCAGGTTCCTCTTCATAGAGGCTGAGAATTTCAAAGCAGCCTCCAGGGTTTCATCATGTCTGCCTGTCTCCTTGTCCTCAAGAACTAAGGGCTCTCAGTGGTATATGGTAACTTTAATATATGGTAAATTGAGGCCTAGGGTAAGGTGGATACTTACCTTACCTTATGGTTTGAATGTCTTTCCTAAAATTCATTTAATTGTCACTGTAACAATATTAAGAGGTGGGGCCTTTTAAAGAAGTGATTATGCCATGGGGCACATCCATCATGAATGGGTTAATACATTATTAGGGGAGAGGGTTAGTTACTGCCAGCATGGGAACCTGATAAAAAGGATGAGCTCAACCCAATTTCCTGTATTGTCTTCCTTTCTGCACATTCTGACTCAGCACAAAGCTCTTCACTGGATGCACACATCAGGGTCTTGGACTTCTTGACCCCTAGAGCCATGAGAAAACAACCCTCTTTTGTTTGTAATTTACCAGCCCTATGGTGTGATGTTATAACAGCTATAAAATGATCATGACTGTCTCCTGGGACTCATTGCTAGAGCATCTACCTCTGGTCAACCTACCTTGGATATCTGAATTCTTTGCCTCCCTGTGCCCTTAGCCTCACACAGCACAAGTGGGAGTCCTCAGGGCCTGTGGGGAGCAAGCAGGGTAAAAGGGCAAAAGTGGGAGTGTTCACAGGAAAGACTGGTTCAAGTAATCTCAGGCCCTACTCAGGAGACCCAGGACCAAGGGGTACCTATGAAGGCCAGACTCATGGCACTGATTTGGTCTCTTTCTCCTGATGACAGGTCTCCCCTATTACCCCAACTCCTGACATAGGCCCCAGTGATGTTCCAGTTTACCCATCTATGCCCCCCTAATCTGAGAACTGGCACCCTGGCTGTGAGGTCCAGCTGGGGTGATGGCAAGGTAATACATGGCTCAGGGGCTCTTGCAGTTCCTCCCCAGAGCTATTCCTGGCCTGGGTGTCTCCCTACCCCCCTGTTCCCCTGCCTGACCTGACCCTACAGCTGGGAATGGTTTTCTGTGGGTGGGGCAGCTCCTGCCTATATAAGCCTGAACCTAGGTGGCCCAGGCACCCTGGAGGCTAAGATTCTCCATTGCTGACCCCTGCACACTCCAGCCTGACCTCCTGGCCAGCTCAGAAATGACAGGAAAAGCCAACTCTGAGGGCCCTGTCTCTAGTCCAGAGAAGATAGCACCTGACTCTACCAAGGCGCCCACCACAGAGCCTTCTGGAGAAGTGGCAGCAGCAGAGTCTCCCGAGCAACAGCAGGATCCAGAACCTCAGAAGCCTGGCTCTCAGACTCTGGACCCTGAAGCTCCTGCAGCCCCCGCCACCCTTGCAACCACTAAGCCTGAACCTCCAAGTGAAGGTGACCAAAGGTAGGGCAGGCGGAGAAGGGAGGAAGGTGTGCAGGGAGGGCCTCTTCATTTCACCCTGGCTTTTCCCCTAGATGTCCCCAGTGTCCCACTGCAGCTAACCGTGGAGGATGTGAGCCACAGCTCCTTGACCGTGAGCTGGGAGCCCCCTGAGAAGCTGGGGAGGCTGGGGCTCCAAGGCTATGTGTTGGAGTTCTGCCAAGAGGGAGGTGAGTGTCAGGTTCAGTCCTCCTTCCACCCAGTTTATGTGGGTCTAGGGCAGCAAGGACTAGCCCAATCCTGCAACCAGCCAGCCCAGGAGACACAGAGAGAGCAGATATAGACAGTGGCCTCCTTAACTCTCCAGCTACCACCTCCTGCTCCTTGGGGATCTCTGAAGGCACAAGGATGATCAGTGACCCAGGAGCCCTCTCATCCTCCAGTTCTAGGGGACCCTCTGGGTAAAAGAAAGGAGGGGGACACTGATATGATGAGAAGGAAAGGAGGTGCTAAGTCTCTGAGGACCCTGTTCAGGTATGGTAACTAGGAGGCAGAAAGTGGGGGAACTACAGAGGAGGGGACAGAGTAAGAGAGAGGAGAGCCAGAGAAAGCAGGGGTATCTACCCCAGTTACTGATGCTACTGTTTCCTGTTATGACAGTCAAGTTCAGCATGGCCTCTGTCTCTGTCCTTACTTTGCTGCATGTGACATTGTGAATGTGTCCAACCCTTTCTGGCCCCCTCTGGCCACTAACCCAGAGCTCTAACATCACATGTCTTTGATGCCACTTAACACTATGAAGTCAGGGAAGGGGAGAAGGGGAAATAAGGCCTGAGAGGGAGGTCAGCTTCTGCAGATCACCCTTGAGAAAGAAAGCTCCCATGAGAAGGATGGCCATGTCACCAAGACCTCACACATTCTCATTGTCCTCAGCCTCAGAGTGGGTGCCTGTGAATGCCCGGCCTGTAATGGTGACCCAGCAGACAATACGGAACCTGACTCTGGGAGACAAGTTCTTCCTACGTGTGGCTGCAGTGAGCTCTGCAGGGGCTGGGCCACCGGCTGTGCTGGACCAGCCTGTCCACATCCAAGAGATCACTGGTAAAGCATCTCTTGACCTCTTGCTCACCAACCTGATGTAATCGGGAAACTGAGGCCACGGGCAGAGGGACCCAGGCAGTCATTTCCCTATCACACATACGCAAGCCACATGCCGTTCTGTCTTGCCTTGAGAAAGTTTCAGATTCTTCAGCAGCAAGGGGCATCTGGAGGTCAAAGAAGCCACTTCCCTGAGTGGTCCAGTTCCCAAGCATCAGGGAGCGGCTTCCTGCTGTCCAGAGATGAGAGGTCGGGTTCCCTGGCTCCTGTCTCAGGGTCCTAATGCTAAGAGGCCATCTCTTCTTCCTTTGTCTTAATCTTAATCCCTCTAGCAGACAGGGAAGCTGTTTTTTGTTTTGTGTGTGTGTGTGTGTGTGTGTGTGTGTGTGTGTGTGTGTGTGTGTGTGTGTGTTTTGTATTTTCTTGTGTGTGGGCTACAAGTTCTTCATTTTTTATAACACAGAGAGAAGGCCCGCTTCCCCT